GGGGGGGGGGGGGGGGGGGGGGGGGGGGGGGGGGGGGGGGGGGGGGGGGGGGGGGGGGGGGGGGGGGGGGGGGGGGGGGGGGGGGGGGGGGGGGGGGGGGGGGGGGGGGGGGGGGGGGGGGGGGGGAGCACGAGTAGTTTGATTGGAAAATGAACTTTTTGTTGGCCGCCATTTTGTTTAATCGGATGATATTTCATGGTTATTATTGTTCGTGTGTGCAGCACCCTGTTATGGCTCATTAGTTTGATACTGCTGTCTGCGTTATGGAGGGGCTTTCTTCCACTGAACTCAACAATATTGTGGCCTTATGCAACTCTTATATTGACATCAGTCATTTTTCAAGAAGCTCTACGGGTTCTTTTCTGGAAAGTCTACAGGTGAGTTAATATTAACATCTCAATATCACTTGGAGAGTCTAGGAAGTAAGGATTGAAGGGCTGAATCCCACAATTCAAAATCATCTCTAAGTACTTGCAATTGTCATCTGGAGCTGAAGCTTAAAGTAGAAAGGAAAGTCACACTTTAGGAAGATAATAATAGTAATAACAATAGCTGTATTCATTGGAAATTGTAGTATTATGAGTAATTAGGTTAGAAAAAAATTTAGAAGGAAGGTTCTTCTAAAATGTAGGTGTTATGCAGCATACCTTGAAAAAGTTTGATGGCCTGCACCTCTTTGAGTGCTGAGGTGTGATGCCTCTCCTTCTTAGTATGAACACTGTTTAAAATCTGTTATAATAACTTGCTATAGACTATGGGAATTGAAAACATGTAGGTTAGATTGGGTTTACTGAGGAAGACTCAAATTTAAATGATTTGTGTCAATGCATCAAGAGGAGGAGTCTACGAAGCAGTGAAGAAATTGCTAAGATGTTTATTATTATAGATAACCATGTTTGGGCTTTTTATGCATGAGCTGCTGCTTAAAACTTAACCAGTAGCCAACTGATCACCGAACATTCAAGCCTTCTTACCATTGAACCAACATATTACACATACTAGTATATATGAAGACAGAGTTCAAGGTTTTTTCACTAAGCTATGAAGGAGTTATCTTTAGGTTTTATTAGATGATTAATATGTGATATATTGATACTCTTTTAGTGGAAAATTAGGCCAAAATTGGAAAAAGGGTGCCTTTTGACTTCGATAGATAAGTGATGGATTCATTGATTAAATTTCTCCATTAGTTCAGTGTTTAGGTTGAGCAGCCATTATTGTACATCTTTTAATTTTTTGTTCTATTGTTAATGCTTACGGTTACAGTCCTTTTTATTATCACCTTTTATTTTTAGAATATTATATCATATGTGAGATGGAGAATGGACCCCTTAGAGACTGAGATATCTTAACTGCTGAGTTATTCTTATATTGGCCCTTTTTTATGTAGTTTTTTTCTTCTTTGGGAGATTAAAAAAAAAATTAGTTAATACATATATATGCACATATTTTTTAATCTCCATATTTACATTTACTAGTGTCTACAAAGAAATCAAAACTTCATTCTAGAGTTTAAATTAGAACTGCCCAACTCTCCTAGAATTGGTAGATCTATTTGGCCTTACTATTAGGTTTTATCTTATTGGGGGAGTAGCAATCCACAATCCAGGATCATTTTTTTTCTTCCTTCCATGTCTGTAGGTTACTAATTGGAGTCCTCTTACAAGTACTAATATCTTTCTGAAATATTGCAGCCTGCTCACTTTTGGCTATTTTTTGCACCCTTCGTGTCTGCTACTTGAAAATTGTCATTGATTTATTTATTTTTTCTTTTATAATATACGTGTACTATCAATTAGATTCTAAACTAAAGTAACAGTTTCCTATAGAGTTTATAATTGTTTAGCTATAAACAATGATATACCTACGATGTCTCTGCTATTGAATTTTATAGGAAATTAGAAGACATGTTAGATGCTTTCGCTGACAGAGTTTCAAAGCCGCGTCTATATTTGACAGATAAGATGCAGATTGCTCTAGGTAAACTTTGATCACCCATGATTTAACTTATAACCTTTTGTTTCATTACAATTAGTTTCTATATAGCAAGATTTTAAAACTTTGGTATTACGTTCTTCCTATATAAATTAAAACCATGCAAAATGAGAAAAATCATGAGGCAGAATGGTAAGTCCTGCTTCAAAATACAAGAAAATATGCAAGAGAAAGAACCAATGTAATCTCCATTCCCAATTCTCTTATTAAAGGAAGCTGAAGACGGAACTTAATCGAGAAATAAATTCAACCCAAATCACTTAGGTTTACGGTGTGCGATGCTCCAAGTCACTTATTTGCAAGAAACATCTTCAAACATCCTTGTGATTTGCTCCAACCAAATACTCCATGCAATAACCGAACAGCCTACTCCACCAGATCTTACTGAACAGCCTACTCCCGACTGTAAAGTTACAGCCTGATTTTAAAAAATATGGAATCTTAAATTCTGACAAGAATTCTAATTGTGGAAACTTAGATTTAGACACCGAGCACATTGAAAAAGAGACCTTCCTAAAAGTTGCAGCCTTACTCAAGCGTCTTATTGAGTGAGGCAGACAAGAGTTGTCTCTGTATTGGAGGTAATCAGACTAACTGCACAGTCAAATGTCCTAAAGTTGAATGACATTTATAATTGCTCTCCCCTACCTTGAAAAGACAATAATTTGTGAACTGAGGGCCCAGTGATTTTAGCATTTTACCAAGTTTCCCAACCGTCTTCATTTTCTAATCTTACATGAGCTCTAACGTGCACTTCTTAATTGCTTGCAGCTGGGGGTTTAGGTCATGGTGTAGCTCATGCCGTGTTTTTCTGTCTTAGCCTTCTAACACCATCATTTGGTCCAGCCACTTACTTTGTTGATCGGTGCTCCCAGCTACCATTTTTTCTCGTCTCTGGTGAGTTCTTACTCGTATTATTTGTGTAAATACTTTGTATACCTCTGTGAGCTATATATTGTCCAAAAAATTAGGTCATTATTGTCATTCTCTACTTTTCAAAAAGCCTTGCATTCGATTCCAGCTATTCTGAGAGTTCATTTATTCCCATGGCATATTTCTGATCGTTAATTTCTTGAACATTTTAAGAGTTGTAAATGGATCACTATTATTCTACTTTTTTTCACTTAACGTTTTTCACTGAAGGCGACTTATCTAACTGTATTTTGCTGATAACCCTGCAGCTATCATTGCTCTTGCATTTGTCACTATCCATACTTTCTCTATGGTCATTGCATTCAATGGATATTCAGAGGGGAAGAAAGTGGACCAGTATTTTGTTCCAGTCATCCATCTTGCCGCAGGAATGGTGGTAAAACCCCAATCTTACTCTGGATCGTTATTTTTTTTTCCACGTCTAGTTTATTTATATGAAGAAAAGTAGCGCTTTCACCTTAGTGCTCATCGTGTAGATTTTACAATCAAGCCCTTTCTACTTGGATTTTTTTATTTTTTATTTTTTATTTTTTTTTAGTAAGAGAACATATTTCAAAGGGAAAAACAAGAAACAACCTAATGGCCGACGAAGAGAGAACCACCACCAACAAAAGCTACAATATTGCATCCCCAACTAACTTTTACAAGAATAATTTTGATTACAAACGATTTTGTGAAGAGAACTCCATTTCGAGGCCGAATACTTTGTTCAAAATCACAAATATTATCCTTGTGTTTGTGTTTCTAGCTATCAGCATAAAAATTTATAGTTTCGTGCAATCCTCAAGGAGAATAACAAGAGGGCCATCTGCGCATCTCCATGAAACCCCATCTCTTTCATTTGACCACCACCCTTCAAGAATATCATCTGGAAAACAACAAATCTAGCTAAAATTCTGCCGGAGAAAATGCCACCCCTCATATAAGTACAATGGATGAGTAGTTGATCAAAAGGGTTCCTCATCCTTATAGCATTAATAGCGAACTCTGAGAGACTGAGCTCCTTGACTATGAGCGTTTCTTCTTTGCCATCTTTCCTGAGTGCCTAAATTTCTGCAACCAGGACTGGGGAATAAAATTTTCTTTAGCACCCTTACTTCTCAGTAAGCGTATCATCGGTGATCACGGAGTTTTCAGCTTAGGCGCTCTAGAAATTAACTGAAAATAGGCAGATTCACAACTAAAAGAGCCCTAATTGTCGAAGCACCAAACCAGCCAGTGTCTTCCTAGTCAAACCTAGTCATATCAACCTTGTCTCGTGGCCATTTAGGGTGCTAAGTGAAGTTATTAAGTTTAAAGTTGTTCAGTCTGTGAAGTTAAATAATCTGTGTTTGGGATGTATAGAGTTTTTTGGTTTGAGTTTGAAATTTCGTGTTTAGGATGCAAAGTTGTTATATATGGAGTTCTGAACTTTGTGTTTATGCGTGCTATTTTTTTCTACATTTTTTTGTTGTCCCGTACAATTAGAGCTATATTAGATACCAATTTTCCAAAATTTAAATAATAATTGTTTATTTCCATCAAAGAAAATACTTTTTTTTTTTTTTCATTTTCAACTATTTAATTTATTTTTAAGTATTTCAGTGTTTTTTTCCTAGATATTCATTTTATTAAAGACATTTGTTCTAATATACTAAAGGGCATTAATATAAAAGATTGTTGAGAAAAATCTTTTATTCCAATTTTAACTCCAACTCCATTGCACATCTAGAAATTTAGCACTTTCTGGTTAAACTTGGTGCCATATTGTAACTTCATTTTTTTATGACTGTTCTATTTATCTATGATTTCAAAACCTAATAAATTTTAAGCAAAATTTGTTGTTTACTATCCTATGAAGTTAAATTATATTTTTAAATAAGAAAAATCATGACATGGACGGTTATATTTTGCTAATTTTCTAATAATTTTACAATTATCATTTAAACACAAATTTTAAAAATCTATGTGCAAGTATTCATCATTGTTGTATTCACTAGTGACACATCCTCTCCATCTTTGTACTTCAAACTTATTGAAAGTTGAATACCTATTAGAAATATTAAGTTTAGGGACTAAATTTGTTATTTAATATTTATTTATTTATTATTTTTTCTAATAGGGGTTGGTATCCAGCCAAATCTTTTCAATCAATTGTTTAGTTTACTGGAAATATTTGTAGTTGCCATAAAAAGGCTCAAGGTTCTCAACATCATTGTCGTAGCATAGTTACTAATGAAGCCTTGAATATTCTTGATTGTTAATGATCTTCTTGAAAGATATTCATTATGATTCAAAACTTTATTTCCATTCTGCCAATATTGCACTCTTGTCCTCTCCTTTGCACTCGTAGCTGTCAGCTTAAGCCGACACGTTTTTCCTTTAAACTCACCCCAAGAAATGTTCTGTACTTCAAGCATTTGAAATTCATACATTAAGATCAATACATCGTGGATCATATGTTTATTCCTCCTAATCTTTGAAGCATTTTTAGAATTCCTCAGCCTTCATATAATTTAGTAATTGTTGAATTTAAGACAAATAACACGGCCCTCTTACTTTGATCCAGCATTTCAGAAACTAGTAAACAACCAGCAAATTCCATTATTTGGTTATGCCGTATTATATCCGATCTGATATTTCACCTGATCATCATTTCTTAGTTTAGTGTTTCTTTGGGAGGAAAAATCAAGTTGACCCCTAAACTTGTAAAGTTGTATCAATTTTTTTTCTTAAAATTTTCGAACCTTAGAACTTTCTATTTCATCAAATTGCACCTCAAACTTAGATGAGTGTTGCCATCTTAACTTTAACCTTTAACAAATTCTTGCTCCAAATATTGTTAACCTTTAGTTTTAACTTTTTTTCTTCTTTTTTTTTTTGGCTAAAATTAGTAGGGCTGGTGAAAATTGAACTACAGATAAAAATTGCAGACTCTTGGTTAAGCTTTAGATCCAAATTGATAAGATTGAAAGCTTTTAGTGTTCAAATTGATAGAGGTCAAAATAGGTTTGCCCCTTTTCTTTATTATAATTCTAATTCATATTTCTCTTTTTGTTTCCAGACGCTGGTAAACTTTGCATCTGGAGGTTGTGTAATTGGTATCCCTCTGCTATATATAATGGCAAGTCTAACCTTGATTCACTGTGGGAAAATGGTTTGGAGAAGATTGATGGAAAGCCGAAGTAGCCAAGGTAGTCGGTAACATCGTTAACCCTTCTTCTGCTGTAATATTGCTAACTCAGCATCTTGAAGAAGGTATCTTCGAGAGAACATCTATTCCCCATGTTTGTTCGTCTATTATTCATTCGGGAATCTGCAAGTGAAAACACCCGTATTTTTCGATGAACACGGCGAACTCGACTTCATAGCCTATGGAAATGTCATTTGTTTCTTCTGAACAAGAATCCAGCATTAACATGATAACACATTTCTTAAAAGTACTGATTACATTTCTGTATTACTTATGGTTTCTTCAACTGTCGACTCAGATTTTGTGCTGAAGGCAAAGGGTATTGGCTGCAGCCTTCACTCAAAAGGTGAATGATTCTGCTATGGTCATAAACGAGACAACCGAACAATGCCTAAATGGATAAATACTTGAAACCACATGTAATAGACTCGATGGTTTTTTGATTTAGAAATTCTTTTTTGTTAAATGACCTAACACCACAAAATTGGTCTATAAATCAAAAAATAGACATTACATTGGAGCACGTGTTGAGATAAATATTTGAAAGTTGAAGGATTAAACTGAAAATTAATACAAATTTGGACCTAAATAGGTTTCTAAGCTAAACTTTACAAGGTTTTAACATATATTGACAGGTGAACAAATCACAAACAACGTACCTTGGCAGGATGGTCATATACATTTCTAGTTCTAGTTTGGGGAACAAGGTGTGAGGTTAGGTGATCTTGTCTGAGAAAAAAAGGAAATATACTTGACAAAAAGAATTAAATATTACAAATATCAATAAAGTATTTTAATTTATAGATTTTTTATTTAAAGAAAAAGAAAAGAATTATAGTTTCTTTTATTAATTTAAGTAATCATTTTAAACATACTTTATCTTGTTCAATTATTTTAAGGAGTTTAGATGAGGCAGGATATCAAATATGTACTTAATATTTAATTAATTAGAATCCTGAAAATACAATAGAAGAAGAAGAAGAAGAAGAAGAAGAAGAAGAAGAAGAAGAAGAAGAAGAAGAAGAAGATGAAGGTTAGAGAAAATGTGGAAGTACATTAACATTAGGTTATATTGGGAATGATAGATGAACGCTAATACTTAATACTTATAATCTCTCACTTCTACCATAGCAGTTTGGTTCATTAAAGCAGCAGCAGAGCAAGTGAATGCCACATTTTTGGTTTTAGGGAAAACACATATTTGTTGTTAATTTATACTGCCAACTATTTACATTCAAATCATATTTGACATTTCCCTCTCTCTCTCTCTCTCTCTCTCTCTCTCCCTTAACCAAACACACATCATCCCTCCCACCTCCCTCTTCTTTTTTTTCTTTCTTTTTTCTATCTTTTTTCTTCTTCTTTTTGTTTTTCAAATGGACTTGAGAATAATCAACACAAAGAAAAAAGGGTCTGCTAACACAACACACCAAATCAGAGACATTTCCTTTCCATTTCTCCTCCTTGTTGATTACTCTCTTTCTCTACTTCGGTTGAAACACCACAGGTTTTTTTCTCAATGGTGTTGTTGATGGCACATCTCGCATGTGCTACTAGATTTTGTGTTCACAAACGTACAGTGTTCACATGACCAATGAGTTGCAGCATTATCGCCACTTCTGGTTGAGCTCCCGATTCGACTGATTCCCTTACCTCGTACGCTTCTCCCTCCTTTACTACTTCCTGCTGTGTTTTTTGAGCTCGTTGTGCCGCTGCTTGCTCCATGAGAATTCACATCTGAAAGCCCGTTCTCTAATGCTCTAACTAGGTTCTCAAAGTAATTTCGAGTAACACTGTATGTGACGAACACAAAAACACGAGTTTTAAAATGTCATGTTATGCGCTTTTATATTGAAATAAGAACTGTGTTTATGAATGAGCCTTCATTTACCTGGTTAGACCAGCAAGTTTTGTGCGGAAGTCATTAAATTCTTTTGATGGACCTTCTGCACTGACGAACTGGAGCAATTCCTTTTCGGCGCATTGATGGAGCCTTTCTAATCCCGACTCGGCCTCACCTGCAGGAGAAGTAAATATCGATTTTTTAGCATCCATACCATCATAGAGAAAGTGTGTTCCTTGGTACCGCGAGAATGCAATTACCTTGCAAATACTCAAAAAACTGTCTCTTGGCATGCTCCTGTTCCGGCAGGTAATATCCATATGAATAAGTCCATTTCAAAACTCGTCTACATTCAATTATCTGCAAATAATCACAAGAAAATAATGAGGTTAAAAGATGATTGGCCTAAAATAATATTCAAAATGTAGTTTTTCTTCCTTCTATCTTTTTCTTGAAACTATTATCAATATCCTTAAAGCTCAATCTGTAACTATAATACTACAAAATCATGAAGATCCTTGAGTTATATAACTTTTTAAAATTGTTACACAATTTGAAAGTCTATCACAAGAACGTAAATCTAAGCACCAATAAACCAAAGAAATCTGATGTTTCATAGTTGGATAGTTTTGTACATGCCTGTAACCAAGCCTCTGTTATGAACTTTAGCTGAGACTCAGGAGTGCAGTGTATATCACTGAGCTTCTCAATCTAAGAAAGAACAAGAAATAAGAATTCATTATCTCCAATATTTAATAGGGCATAAAGTAAACAAGAGAAATCAGTATAACCACACATGCAGGTTCTTGTAATTCGATTTTTTTCACCCACCAACAACCAAAACAATACACATCATTCAAAAACTAGAGATGGGTATAAGACAGTTCTAAACATCGAAAGTTACGAGAACTAGTAAACCAGTAGCTCGTTAAAAACAAAAAGTTAACTAAAATAGAAACTCACATGCACATTCTGCATTTGATGCAAATCTGCGATTGCTTTTTGCCTAGACTGCAAAGGACAAAGACAGCATAACGTCAACAAGCAATAAACAAAAAGTATTAAAAACAAAACGGTTTGAAAAATGTCCAGATTCTATGAAAGAGATCAATAGTTTACCCAGCAGGTTTAAATGAAAAGAATCAATCGACTGAACAGACAAACACGAGAAAATGAGACATACACACTTAAGGAACCAAAAAAATTTTAAATAGACCTCAACAAATTGGCTTGGACAAGAAGAAAAAACGATGCATAAAAACCTAGTCAACAAGGTCTGTCCACTTAAGGAACCAAAAAAATTTTAAATAGACCTCAACAAATTGGCTTGGACAAGAAGAAAAAACGATGCATAAAAACCTAGTCAACAAGGTCTGTCCATCAAGGAGCAAAAAGAAAACCTTCCCAGAGAAAAATTTTAGGAACCACTTGCAATAGAAAAAAAAAAATTGTCCAATTGTTACCTTTCTTCTGCCATCCAACAGATGTTCAGCAAATATTACTTAATAATAAATAACGCAGCGGCTTATTTTAACAGATTGCTATATGAAGAATATGATATGACAATAATGATATGGTAGGCAGAAGATAGTGAATATTGTGAATTGCTAATAAAGAATAAGTACAATGATCTCAACCAGAAAAATTCCCGCTCGTCCATAAAAATGAATACTTTGTGAATGCAAATGAATCCAAAAAAATTTATGTTAGCCATCATAGAACTTCCAAGGATAAATCTTAGCAGGTTGACTACACCAAGAATTGAACCCAATGTTGTACCCTCTTTTTTTCTCCCTTCCCCTCTCAAGTGTTGCAATAAGTTGACAAGAAGCAAACAGTACAAACACATCAAGAAGGAAAATAAAAGAAGCATATCATAGAGGAGAAACAAACAATCATGAATCATGTGCCTCAAAGACAAATATCAGGATACTAGAGACCATGGCTAGAATTAGAAAACTATATAAAGACTAGCATATGTAAGTTGGAGATGGTTGTTCGGCATACTGTTTGATTGCTTGCCCAACGTTCGTAATAGTGAGTGTATCTTTCCAAAGAATTCTTCGCCATTTCTCTTCTTTTCTCAGCCTCGTCATACTACAATATTAAGCATAAAAAAATCAATTTCAAGGATAACTCCACAGAACACTACTGGAGTTGGTTATAGCTTGGAAGGTTCCTTACCACACCATCTTGCTTAGCTACCTCATATCGGTTGCAAGCATAGAAGCCACCAGTTCTTTCACCATGATCGGACCATGCACCAAGACACAGCCTGCACTAAATAAAATTTACGAAGTTAAAGAACAATCCAGTCGTAATGTCCATCAAAAGATGCAATCAATGAAAACCCTTTTTTCTCTGCTTAGCCCTATTCACACAACAAAGAGTGGATATATACGATCAAAATCTGTCAAATCACCCGTGTTATGATCTTTCTACATTCTGGATCATCCAAATGGCCAGTTCCAAACATTAATGAGGAAAGGAAAACTTAGATCCCCCCCCCCCCCCCCCCCC